AGAGCGCCTGGGCAAAAGAAGGGACAGGGAAAGCGAAACTGCATGCTAAGGGCGGGAAGGCGGGGACCAATAATGCAGCAGAGAAGGACGCCCTATAGTCCGTTCAGACGACGGGCCTGAGACCACCTGGCCGCCTCCAAACACAGATGTCGAGACAAATCTGTTCAGCGAGCTCATCGGCGGTGATGTGCAGAGCGCCTGGAAAAAGAAGAAACAGGAAGAGCGATGCTGCATGCTGAACTCAACTCAATCATTTTACAGGTCGACCTGGGCCAGGCTCCGAGAAACCAAATGGTAGCATCTCTTGCTCAAACAACAAGCTGTCGTGCCGGCATCACTGCATCTCCCATATCCCAAATCAACAATACTTCAGGGAGGGTGTGATTCTGTGGCACGAACGTTCTGCAGCGCACGAGGGAAACAAATGAGCAGCCAGTGCGTGCTCGAATCGGCGTCTAAGCCTGGGATCGACTTCAGTCGATCGAGCTGCTTGAGGAGTCTGCCTTTCTTTTCGTGCCGTTTGCAGCTCGCTGGGCTCTTCCACCCCCCTCGTTTCTGAATCCGGGCGATCGGGGGGTCACCTAGGCCATCGGTGGACGCGCCCCCGTGGCGGAGGTAGCGGGGAGTGAGCTGCAGGCAAGCCGCGCCCACCTCCTCGGCACCCTGGCGGAAGATCCTCTCGTTGCCCGCGAGCGTGAGGCCGTCGAACACGACCGCGCCTGGCCCCGCCGCACGGCACTGCACGGCCACGAGCACGGTGATGGGGCTTCGCCGCACCTCCGAGGTCTCGCCCAGGATGGCGGCGTCGTCGAAGTCGCCGCTCTTGGCGGGCCGCCCCCCCTCCTGCGGGCAGAGTGCGGCGGCCCAGCGCCGGCGCCCCAACCCAAGGCCCTCGGACGCCCCCAGGTAGCCGTCGAACAACGCGAGGCCTCGTGAGCGCCGCTGAGTTCACCGTGACCAGACTGCGGCGCTTGCCCATCCAGTGGGCCAGCTCCACCGCGGCTTCCCAAGGGCACCCATCCCGCGACCTGATCTGCGAAGCCTTGCGGGAGCCACGCAGGGCACGACGGGTCCGCGGGAAGTACGGCGTCTTCGCCCACACCTCGTCGACGTGGTACATCAGCGCGTGGATGGCGTTGTCGGCTCTGGCGGCGGGCTCGCCCTCGAAGTGGAGCTTGTCGAGGTGCAGCTCGCAGGCCTTGTCGCGCGCCTCGGGGTTGTCGCACGCCAGCTGCTGCGCCTTCCACCAGGCCGCGAGCTCGCCGCGCCCCCGCTGGTAGACGCGCGGCGTCGCCGGGGCCGCCGAGCGCTGCTTCCGGTTCCCACTCTCGCCCGGCGCGATCGCCGCTGACTTAGCGACTGCCCGCCGGGCGCAGGCTCGGCGCTGCCGGGCGCTGGGTGGCGGCCGCGCGTCGATGCCGCCCTGCGCCGGCAGCCCCGGCGGCGGCCGCCCGCCGCCCTCGAGGGCCGCCTGGCCCGCCAGCCGCCCAGCCCAGCGCGCGGAGAGCGAGGCGCCGCTGCTCCGCGCTCTCGCCGCAGAGCTGGCGGCCGACAGCGTGCTCCCATCCAGCTGCAAACCTCCATGGGCACGTGGGGGCCGCGAGCGGCTTCGGCTGCGTGATCCCCGCTGCCGCCGCCAGCTCGCGCCCCCAGCGGGGGCCGAGCAGCGGCTCGGCATCCCGCCAGAGCGCGCTCTGACCAAGGGCCTCCTTGAGCCCTACTGCGACATTGCGGCAGAGCCCTGGTGGATACGCGGCCGCCAGGGAGGCTTTCCACTTCCAGACGAGCTCGGCGGCCCCGTCCGGGACCTTCGCCTGCCTTTCGAGGCGCTCGCGGGGCACCACGCACACCTCCTCTCTATCACCTTCAGGGCGGGGACGTCAGTGATGCGCACCGTGGGCTTCTTGAAGGGGGCTCCGAATACTCGGAACTGTCGCATCTTAGTTTCGTGATAAGACTGACGAGGGGCGAGTACTTCAGGGGCCGAGGACGCTGGGTTCTCAATACAGATGCGGAGACCCCAACGTGATGGCACACCCCGAGGACCTGCACCGCGAAGTCGGCACAACCAGTTGCCGGCCCGAGAGCCCGCGGAGTTCTTGGACCCCGCGCTGTTCGCGACACTCCGTCGGGCACAGGGAGCAGCGAGATGGACATGGGAGACGCGACCATGAGTGATCCACTGCAGGATGGTTTGCTAGACACCAACGCCGAGAAGTCGGACTGCGGCCCGGCCGAGACATCCACAGGGCAGAGGATGCGCAGGCCGGCCACCAGGCAAGCGCTAGAGAGTCTGGCGCAGCCGCTGAAACCTCGAGGATGCCGGCGCGGCCGCCGTCGGTCGGCGGCGGCCGACGGGCCGGCGGCGGCGGCGCGAGCAGGCGGCCGCTCGGTCCGAAGCCCGCGCCCGCGGCGTCGCTGCGGTCTGCCGCGGCGCCTGCCGCTGGCCCCCGCAGCCGCCCTATAAAACAGGGCTATAGGATCGGGAAAAAATCGCTCCAGAGCGTTCCGGAGCGCTCTCAGAGCGTTCCGGAACGCTCTGGAGCGGCCGCGGCGCCCACTACATCCTCCAAACCCGCCGATTCTCAGAGATTTCGCTTTATCCCGATCCGATTTTGTCCCGATCTTCGCGTCGTTTGACCCTAGCCGAGCCGCCGGCCGGCCCCCGCGCAGCGCCTCGCCGGGCGCCAGCAGCCCGCGCTCCGCGAGCCTCGAGTCTGCGTCGGCGGGGTTGCGCGCCGTCTCGATGTAGCGGCGAACCCGCTGCACCTCGGCCCCGAGCTCGATCGCTGCGGCGCGCCTGCAAGTGACGTTCAGAGCCGGGTTGTGCGTCTGTGCGCCCGACCACGCTCCGTGGCCAAGACCTCGGAGAGGTTGTCGCCGAGGGACAGGACTACGCTGCCGCGACTCGCTGGGTCACCGGGCGCCGACCAGCAGGCGCCTCCAGCGCCCGGCGGCGGCCACATGCTGTCGGGCGGCGAGGGCGCGAGGCCCGTCGCCAGGGGATGTTGGACCCCGGCCTCGACCACCTCCACGGCCTCGACGGGCGCCGGGTTGCTTGCCCAGGGCGCGCGCCGAGCAGGGCGGTCTCGGGCAGCAGCTCCAGGCCAGCTGCAGTCCTCCGCGCCCAGGTCCCTAACAAGCTCGAGAAGTCGGCGCCCAGCCTGGCCTGGGCCCCCGAGAGGCCAGACCCCTAATCCCCGGAGGCGTCCGAGCAGAAGGCCGCGGGGTAGTGCTACCGTCGGAGTCGGCTCCCGACGAGGACCAGCAGGCGTCGGCAGGTAACCGGCCCCCCCCGAACACGGCTGTCAAACGGACGGAAGCGACCCAGATCATCGGCGCTGCATCCATACAGGCACGAGAGCACGCTTGGGGCGGGCCGGGCCAGCACGCAGAAATTCACGAGGTGGCCCAGCACGATGCTCATCACCTCCCCCCGCGCAACCCGCCCAGGGCTCCAGCTGCCGCAGCGCATGCCGCATGCCGCAGCCGCCAGAACCTCGACCGCCGCTGCCTCCAGGAGAAGCTCGCGCCCTGCAGCTCGGACCCTATCGTGTCCAGGTTCGGGTCGCACTCTGCGTTGTCCCGCAGCGTGAAGCCACGCTCGGTCAGCGCGGCCGCCATCGCATCGTAGGAGATCTCGGCAGCCCCCCGGTCGAAGCAGAGCAAGTTGCCGTTGTCGACGTACGGCGCCGCGACTGGCCAGCCCTCGGCCAGCCGCGGGGCGGGCCGCCCGTCTCGCAGAAGCGGGTCCTCCGCCAAGCTCCGCTCGCAGCGCATCGTCCGCACCAAGGGCTCCACCATGGCGTCTGCGAGAACTGAATGGCAGATGAACAAGGCCCATGTCCAAACCATGGGCACGCCGCAGAAGCAAGGCCAGACTCGTCGTCGGTCGCGACGGGCAGCCAAGTGCCGACGCCGTCCACCACGTCGCACATCTCCGTGATCCTGGCCGCCGCCTCGCCCCCATCCGGAAGTCGATGCCGAACCGGTCGCTCGTAGCCTTGAAGCACAGCTGGTAGAACCCGCCCTGGAGGTCCACGGCCGCGTCGCACAGCTCCATGGCAGCCGCGATTCCAGGCTCCAGCGCCGCGTCGCTAAGGTCGAGCGCCGAGGCCGCACCTGGCGTCGCAAGGTAGGAGCGCGGCGGCCGCCAGTGCCAGTGGTTCGGCACACGAGCATCCACGATGAGCCGCTGCCACCAGCCGCCCCCCTTGATGACCGTGAAGAGGCCGACGAACGCCTTCACCGACGGCCTGAACACCACGAGGCCGCCGCGGTGCAGGGTCAGCACGAGCTCCTTCAGCAGCTTGCGGCTCTAGCGGAGACGGGGGTCGAGCATGGCCGCGGAGGTGGACCATCTGCCTGAACCTCATCAGCCCGTCGCTCAATGCACCCCCAGGGGTCAGCTAGGAGCTGGAAGGCGTCAGCCCCCACGACGCCCAGCACCTCCTTCGGCACAATGTCGTTCTTCAGGATCTTGAGTCGCTCCAGCTGGATCGGGGCCCGGCTGGCGGCGTCGCTCGCCAGGTACATGTCGGTGCCCTTCAGGAGGTCTTGAAGCGCGGAGGAGTAGTCAGCGTCGGGGGGGGGGGGGGGGGCGGGAAACTGGTCGTCCACCCGCTCCACGACTCGGTCAAGCGTCGACTGCTGAGCCGATGTGACCGCTTGCTTGGAAGGCCTCGGTCGCCGCAGCTGCAGCGGCCGACCAACGCGCGAGGGATCCAAGCCATTCAGAGCCTCAACCGCGTCAGCGGCGAGGGCGGCAACCGAGGGCTCAGCACCAGCACGAGTCGGGGGGCGACATGGAACCGCCCGATCACCCTCAGCACCACCGTCGTCCAGAAGAGGTAGTGGCAAGGGGAACGTGTCGCACGGCGACGTCAAAACTTCACGGCAAGCCGAAGTCGCACTCGTCCTCGGCGGTTGGGGCGCAGCGCTGTAGCCCGAGCCCCGCGATGACAACTCAAAGGTCGCTGCGCCCCCGAGCCTCCTCAATCCTTGCCCGGCTTGCCGTCGCCCTTGTTGCGACCGGCCTGCCTCTTCCTCTCGTTCTCCTGCTCCTGGAGGTCCTGTCTGAGGCTCTTGAGTACCGTCGCGCTCGTCTTCTGCTGCTCGGCCATGTACTTGTCGAGCTCTGTCGTCTTGAGGCCGCCTGACTCGTCGAAGTTCGACTGCACGAACCGCTCCAAGCCTGTGAAGTCGGGCGCCTTCGGGTTGAGTCTGACGGCCCGCTGGCAAACGATGATGCGGCGGCAGATCAGCTCCACCGACGCGAGGGCCTGCATGTTCAGCTGGTCGTGGGACTGCATCGCGCGCAGGTAGTCGAAGGCGAGCCTGACCTCGCGCGCGACGCTGCCCGACGGGTTCACCCCGCTTTTGCTCTCCCACCAGGTCGGGCACAGGTGCAGCTCGAGCCCTGCCACCGCCACGTCCGCCATGAGCTCGCGAGCCGTCGACGGGCCCTCGAACGGCCAGTCGGCGAACTTTGCCGCCTGGATCGCGGTGGATTGGCAGGGTGCGTAGGTATCGCCCCGGCCCGTTCTGCTTGTGCTCGAGCCAGCCGCCCAGGTCGCGGCTCTTCACCCGCTGCACCGAGACCCGCTCGCCCGACTCCTGGTTGATCAGGTGGAGGCCCGTCCCGCCCTCTACCACAGCGCGGTCCCCGAGCATGCTGCCATCGGGGATCACCTCGTTGAAGCTCTCGTGTCCTGTGTCCGAGACGCGCCACTGTCGGCCCGCTGCCGCCGCGGCCGCGCCCGCAGCTGGCTGGTGCCCGAGCGCCGTGCCAACTGGCCTCCGCGCAAGAAGATCGTCCCGCTGGTCGGCCGTGAGCGGGTCGAAGCCGCACACATTGCCGCGCACCTGGACCGGCCGCGGCGCGGCGCGCGCGTCGGAGCCTCGGTGATCGACTGCGCGGAGCACATCGTGGACGCGTTGCCCCTGGCCTCCGGGCTGAGAGGTGGCCGGCCAATCCAGCGCCTCCGGCGCCGTGGTCGCGTTCAGCTTCCAAATGCTCAACTGGCGCGCGGCTGCACTGAGCTGCCCGCTCGCCCATCCGACCTGCGCCCCGGGGCTACGGGGAAGCGGGCCGCGGACCCGCTCGTGGAAAACTGAAGATACCGCGTCTGCGTAGACCGCGATGGACTCCTGCTGCCCGATGCCCCTTGCGGCCCGGAGACGCAGAAGCGGCGAGTTGTGGAGCCGCCGCGCGCCGGCCACGTCTGACAGAAAGACGCCCGGCTGTCCTGCGAGCCACCTCGCCCTGGGAAGCCCCCGCAGCCAGCTGCTCGCCTGCCGCGCAATCGCGGTCGCGCCATTGCGCGACAATCGATGCCGCAGCGCCTTGAGGGCAAGGTTCGCTGGTTCATTGGATGCGCGGCGGCGCCGGCGACGCCCGCCCCCCTCGCGGGCCGCGCACATGGGGCGGCGACCGCCCCCGGAGGGTCGCTGTCTCTCGTCCTCCGCGCGCCGCTCCGGGAGGGCGCAAACCGGCCCCGGGCGGCCCCGATGGCCAATTATTATCCACAGATGTGCCCAGCAACAAGCGCAAGAGAGCGATCTGCCGCCTGGCCCCCGCGAGCCCGCAACGCCCAGCGAAGGGCTGCCGCGCCGCCGCGCCCAGCTTGCTCGCGGCTGTCGCGATGCGCGAGCTGGCCGTGCCCGACGCCCCCGCGACAGTCGGGGCATCCCCGACCCCCGCCAGCATCGAGGCCACAGCTGCCCCGCCGCCGCGCGGCGAGGCGTCCGAGCAGCCGACTCGCCCCGAGCCGCGCTCGCAAGTTCGCCCCGGCCCCCTTCCCGGCCTCGAGGGGCCCGCGCGGGCGGGGGGCCTCGATGGCGGCGGCGAAGATCTCCTGCGAGATCGCGAACGGCGGGCGGCGATGCCCCGCGCAAAAGCAGGCGAGGCCCGCCCAGCGACAATGCGCGGCCTGCGGGGCGCCCTCGGCGCGGGCGAGCCCGATGGAAAGCCGGGCAAGACGACGCCCGCGCTTGCGCTGGCGCGCGCAAGCCCCCCCGCCCCCGTCTTACTCGCCGCCCTGCAGAATCCGCTTGGAAGGAGCCGACGAGGGACTTCGCCGCGTTGGCCAGCAGTGCCTAACGGCGGCAGACTCCCGCGAAGCGGCAGTGCTCCGGGGACCCATGGCCAGCCGCGCTGTCGGCGACCCTTAATTTTAACCATGGCGCGCACGAAATCGAAGGAGCCCAAACCAATCGGCGAAAAATCAGGCCCCCGAAGAAACGACTTGGACATCGAGACCTCGGCGAGCACATCGACTTCCGCCTCGCCGAACACGAACTTCCGAACCGCCGCCTGGGCGGCCCCCGCGGCCCCTGACCAGCCCGTCGGCGCAGTCGCGAGCGCCGCGCGGAACTCCCCCTGGGCGTCGCGCCCCAGGACAGCCCCAGAAACAGGGCGCCCGTAAACGAGGAAGCCGCCCCAACTGCGCGGCATCCGCAGCAAGTTGAAGCAGCCCGCGAAATCCTCGCCGCCCACATCGGCGCAATCTGCATCCTGCAGGACAACCAGCATCGCCTGCGCAATGAAGGAGAGGTGGTCGACCCCCCCCCGCGTGACCTGCGCGCGCTCGTTCAGCGGGGCCAGAATCGAGATGGACCTGACGCGCGCCTTCGCGACCCCGTCGACAACCTTCTCCTTATCAGCGCCCATGGCCCCGCCATCAATCGGCCTCCTGGCGCGGCCTCGGCAACGGCGCGCGGGGTCGGCCGCCGGGGAGAGACCCCGGAGCTCCGGTTCTCCCATTCCGCTTGACCCTCATGGACCCTTGACTCCGTCGGTCTCCACGGCCATTCGCTTCCTGGGATCGCGCCCCCCCAAGGGTCGTCGGCGACCTGGGCGAGCATCTCGCCATCCAAGCACTCCTGGAGGTCCGCCGCGCCGACCTCGCCTTCGCCGCTTTGGTGAAGTCCTGGGCTGGCAGCGGCGGGTCGTCGTCGTCCTCTTGCCTGGAACCGCTCCAGCCGCTGGCCCAAGCGGTCCGTCGCCCTCTCCTGGACCGCCGTCGCCTCGCTCGGAGGAGTTGCAAAACCAATATTTCTACCCGCGCGGCCCCCGAGATAATCGATCCTGCGGGCGCCCAGCCGGCGCCGGCAAACGCGCCCCATCCGACTGGCCCCCCGGCCGCGCAGGGCGGCAACCACCCCGCCGATCGAAGACCGCAGCGGGCAACGGCGGGACGCGCGCGCGGAATGCCCCGAGGGGCTCTGCAAGTGGCAGGTGGCATCCCGCAGTGCCGGGCCCAAGACCGGGAGGGGCACGTGCCCGTCCGACTGCTCCTGCAGGGCGCGCTGCAACTGCGGCGAGTCGCGCGATGGCGGCGCTGCGTCCGCGGGGCTTCGCGTCGGGCCGCCCCCGGCGGCGGGGTTCACCGGCCCTTTTGGCCCATCGTGTCCGGGCAATCCTTGTTCGCGACCCTTGTCTGTCTGGCCGGGCGGCTGGCCCCCTGAGCGGCGCCGGCGGAGTCGCTGCTCGAGCTGCTGCTCCCTCGCCAGCATCCGGCCCTCGCCCCGGTCGAGCAGCGCGGCCCCGCCCAGCGGTGGAAGCTCGCGCCGCGCAGCCGTCTCCCAGTGACCGTTGACGAGTACGCGCTCGAGCGCCATGAGGCGCCGCGCCAACAGGTCGGCGCACTCCTCATAGCGTTTCTCCGCCAGCAGGTCCAACGCCCGACATGAGGGAACAGACAGCGACACCAGCGCCAAGAAAGAAAGTACTTGTTCCGCGGAGTTTTGAAATGCGTTTTGGCCGCCGTGGCCCGGGGAAATGCTGGTCGGCCACGGGGGGCGGGGGAAGGGGGATGTCGCGCGGCAGGTAGGAGGGAAGGCAGGAAACCAAAAGCGCAAGCGAGAAGCGAAACTGGCGGGCGCTCTCGGGAGAGGAGGGAGAAAAGAAGGAAGAATGCGGCATGCCCCATGACCGAAGCCTCGCTCCCCCCACCGCCGCTCTCCCCCGCGCATTCCCTTGCCCGCTCGCCCCCCCTCATGCGACCGCCCCCCCCTCCCTGCGCCCGCCCTCTGTCCGCCCGCGTCGCATCCCCGACGCTCTACTTGCCCGAGGCCAGCACCCGGCGATTCCAAACCGCCTGATCCCCGCGACAGGGGGCGGCGGCCACCCTGCGCGTCTGGGGCCAAAGACCGCGGCTCCCTCTTGACCCGGGCCCGCAGCCCCTGGCGAACTTCCGAAATCGTCGAGGGGTTCAGCTCGCCCATGGGGCCGCCGTTCCAGAGGGGACCTCGGCGCTGGCGTCGGCGTTTCGATGTTGCAGGGAACGAAAAGCCGGCACCGGCACCAAGACGCCGCTGGAAGAGTTGGGAGCGCTTTCCCTGTGGGGGCTGAACGACCCAACGGAGCCCGGAAAGCTTGAGATGGCTCGCATTGCTCTCCGAATTTGCGAGCCATGGGGCTTGCATGATAGAGAAGCGCCACCCCCATGGTCCGCGGGATTCGCAAGGCCCAGAAACCCGATGGGCCCTGACGGGTCGGGGGGGCCCATGGGGCCCGCGCGGCTCGCTAGGCCAGCGCGGCGCATTCGGCCCACGCGCGCTGCGGCGCGCGTGCGGCCCAACAAACCTTTGCGGGACTTGCGGGGGTCATCGGGCCGGCTGGATTCGCGCGGCCCACGGGCCTCGCGCGGCCCATGGAAATCCTAGCGACCGCCTGGGGAAATATGATCGACCCGCCTTGTTCCCACGCGCTCAGAACTGGCATTCGTCAGCGCGGGGCACGCGAGCCCGAAGACGCGGGCGACGGCAATCAACGGAGGCTCTGATTGTTTGTTTTCCAATGGGATATTGGCGTTGGTGTCGGCCCCTGGTGCACCGACGGCGCGCCGTTAGCGCATCCCGGCCGCATCGGGGGCCCATGTTCCGGTGCTTTACCTTCAGCGTGGCGCGGAAGTGCCACGTCGCCCCCGCCTGGGTGCTCAGCATCGCCCCGCGCGTCGCCCCGGGCCGCCTCGCCCCCGGCCCAAAGCGCCCATCCTTCCAAGAAGGCGGAGCGCCAAGGTGCCTGGATACTTCCTGACATATTCCAACAGGCGGCTGTGACCGAGCCACCTGTGGGAGGGGGAAGCGCTGCGAAAATGCGACCGGCTGTCGCTCCTGCCCCGGGGGAGCCGGCTGCGGCCCCTCGAACGGCGCCGAGAGGGAGGACCGCCTTCCGCGCGACCGCCGCCGTCTGCGGGCGGTCGTTCTCCTGCCCAGCGGGACGGGTTGCCCGCGGTGCGACAGCGTCCCGTGGGCGGTGCAACAAGCGGCGCCGGCGCCCAGACCGGTTCCGGCCTACGCCGCGGCTGCGGCGGCCCCGGGCTGCGCTGCGGCTGCCGAAGCCCCGGCGGCGTCGGCTCCGAGAACCATGCCGCCCGCGGCGTTCCTCGGGAGCCTCGCGCTGGCCATCGCGCCAGCCACGGCTCTGCCTTCGGCCGACCTCGTCCCGCAGGTCCCTCAGGTCCCGCGCGCCCCCTGGTTCCCCCTCAAACATCTGCCCTTCGGCGCCCACATCGACGCCCCTGGGTTTGGCCGCCTTTGTCGTCTAACGCCGCATGCGCCGCCAAGTCCTCCTGAAGGCGTTTCCCGCCAGGCCCCTTGAGCCACTTGACGGTCTGCACGGACAGATGGGTGCCATCCAAAAGGCGGAAGCCGTCGAGATGGATCACGTCCTTGTTCCTGTCCTTCATGTAGGCGCACTTCTTGCGGCTACAGGTGCAAAAAGGGTACTCGCCCTTGTAGTCCTTATCGCCGCCCTCCATCCACCAGCCAGAATACGCGTCGCTAGCGCAGACGTACTCGGCGGGAATGACCTGCCCAAGCTCGCCATTCCCCAAAATATATAGAATCACCGTGCCCTGGCCCATCAAGTCGTCATCGTGGAAAGCCACCTCGTAATAACTATGCTCGTGCATCCACCGCCCTTCGGCACAGTCCGGGTCCAGGGCCACTCGGACCCATGGCCCCGGCATGGTTCCCGGCCCCCAGCGCGCGGCCGCGGGAGGGGCGGAGATCGCCTAGCACCTAGGATACGGGATGCCCTGAGTCCCAAAAGGCTGCGGAAGACGATCGCGACGATGGGCACTAAGACCGGGGTCGGCGTCCCGTGAATCGCCCCCTCATGCATGGTTCGTTCCGCGCGGGATCCTGTGATTGTTGCCAAACTCTTTCTGACGCTCTGCCTGCGACGCAAGCGTGGCTCTTCCTCTAGTTTTACTGGCATCGCCGCGGGGCCGGCATGGGAAACCCAACCCTTGTGTCCAGACCCCCAACCGACACCATCGCCACGGTTCAAACGCGCGCGCCCCCATCATCGCAGGCTGGGGCTCCCCCGCGGGTGCGGACGTCTCCACGCCACAAAGCCCCCAACAAACAATCCGAACTACACCCAAGATGGCCCCAACAAAAGAATACACTTGAAACGATGCTAATCACTTCCACATAGCGAATACAAAGCGCTCGACCGTCAACCCAGGAACGGCGCCAAAAACTTCCGAGGTGAGAAGCCCTGGATAGGGCCCGCAAAAACACACATTCAGTGCTGCGCATGGGGCTTGTTCATGGCGTTCCCGCAATCCCACGAAACATCCGGACATGGCCCGTAGGTCTCTCCAACATCACCACTGAGTGACCAAGTGCTCCGCACAAGCCAGGCCCACGAACGACCCAGTTCAAAGGGTTGGCGGATGTGGCGTAAAACTTAAGAGTAATACCGCGCGGGCCACTCGCCCACGTCGGCCGCGCGCACAAGCCGAAACTATTACACAACGTTCTTCACCGACACGTGGACACCATCATCGTCATCGGCCCGACCACCATCGGCACCGTCAGTGGCCTTGTCGTCGCCACGTTCAGCATCGCAACCATCATCGCTACCATCATCATGTTGTCTGCCATCGCCGACGTCGCCATCATACTGCGCCCTCCCGTATCACCGACTCGCACTGGCGTGCCCGTGCGTCAGCGTGGCCTGCAAGACGCGCTGGGA